CTAAGTTTAGTTTCAGAGACATCTAAATTAGGAACTAATAATTGTACCACTTGAATCAAACCACTTTGGTTGAAATCATACATTATTTTCAAAAAGAAAAAAATTATTTTAGTAACTAAAATAAAAAATATATAAGAGAGAAATCAAAATCCCAAATAAAAAAAGAAAAAAAAAAGGAGAAATAATATCAAAACTTTCACAACCTAGCTAAAAACACATGAATAAACTAACTAGAGTGAATCTCCCACTCAAAAAAATCACTATAGTTTAAGTAACAAAAGCTCTAGTGAAATATGGGTATTGTGCAAAAAACATTAATGATATAAGAGTGTCTGATGCTGGAGCTATATGCTGATTCAATTATTTTTCTAATTGTATAGCTGAATAAGTTGCGGCAGTGTAGCATATAATTTTGTATGAAACTCCGATCTCTTTATATATTTTTGAAAATGATTAATAAAGGGGTTGCTTTTAGGTTTATGAAATCAAGAGAATATTTCTCTGTGCTTGAATCTGCTTTTTGGTATAATTAATAGAAATTCATGAGGTGAGAGCAAGATTGTTTTGTGACGTTCTTGAGTGCAGGTACTCGAAAGACAAGAACAGAGGGCTGCTAGCTTTATTTATGATGTTCGTTTGATACCTACGGCCTCCTGTTCGATGACCATCTGGTCTGATCATTTGGTATCAGAGAATAAAGGGAAGATGCCACTGCATATGAATTATGAATGTATGGTACGCGACATAGTGATTAAATAATTAAAGTGAGAGATCCAACATCTACACCAAGAATTGGCTAGAAGAGATCAAATGATAATAGACAATCATAAAAAAGAGGAATAATATGTTAATCCATTTCACCAAGATCACATAGTGGGAAAAGATGAAAAAAGGACTACAGTGAAAATATTTCACTAATTAATAACATCAAGAACTATTTTTGAGATTGCATAGGTTACAATAACATCAACTCACAGTTGAGGAATATGTGGCTGAATTTGAACAACTATAGCTCAAATGTGATCTCATTGAACCAACTTAAAACACCATCACAAGATTTCTAGAAGGTATATAACCTGCCATTGCCCACTTGGTGAAATTCCACTCTTATTGGACCTTGCAAGATGTTATCAATTTGGCCTGAAAAGTAGAAAGACAGCAAAACTTCCTTAAGTCTCTCCACCCCAGATCGTGGGAAGGAGAGGCTGAGAAGATCTACCAGCCAAACAAATACAATGTATATAGAGCTTCCACATCCAATGAGGGAAATATTTCAATAAATATCCAATTAGAACCCCTCCTCCAGCTGGTGTTATTGCAAGAAAATGTTTTAAATGTCACGGATTCAAACGTATCACATCGTATTGTCCAACTCGTCTAGTTTTTAAGATAGTTGAAGAAGAGGAAGCGACCACATTAGTCACCGTTGAAGCTGAAATAAGCTAGCCGACCGGATATTGGTCCACATACCAAACATAATGTCATAGGTGCAGATGAAGGACCCCTATTAGTCCTTCAAAGGCTATTGAGTGCCTAGAAAGAGGAGCCAATGCAAAAACATAATCTTAACCAACTGTACCGTATAAGTTTGGGTGTGTCAAGTTATTGTGGACAACGGAAGCTGCGAGAATATTGCTTCATGTATACTGGTGGAGAAATTACAGCTACCTACTGAATCACATCCCAAACGTTACAAACTATCGTGGATACAAAAAGATAATGTAGTATGAAGTGTTCAAGCGTTGTCTAGATCATTTATCTATTGGAAAACTTAAGGACCAAATGTGGTGTTACGTGTTACCCATGGATGTTTGTCATTTATTGCTAGGTAAGCCCTGGTAGTTTGATAGGCACACCTTTCACGATGGAGCTGCTAATACGTTTATCTTGGTTCAAGCGGGTGAAACAATTGTCTTGGTATTGTTGGTCACTGGGCTTGAAAGCCTATCATCTGATCAAATCATGATCAACAAGACTGCTTGTCAAATAGATATCCAAGAAGTTGTGCTACTGTAGATTTCTTTCCCGGATCTTTAACCTAATCTATTTTCTCATTGGATCTTATATGTGAAGTAAAAGACAACCAAAGATGTTTCAAAATATATTAATACTAACCTTTAGATCCATCCTGAATCTGCAAAAAAAGCCAAGCATTAGCAAGGATGCAAACACATTAAACAACTAAGATCTAAACAACAAATAAACTAACAAAACATAGCACCTATAACTTCCCAGGACCACTGGCAGAAGCACATAATGATTCATCAACAAGAATCCCACTATAGAAAATTGATAGCCACAGGACAATTTGATGCCAGAGCAAAACTCCAGAAACAAACAATATTAAAGGAAAAAGGGCCAAACATTGGAGAACCCCCAGGAACACCATAGAAAACCTATGAGGGAATCAAAATTGAAGATACCATAACTGCAAATGAGCCATAAGAGAAAGAACAAACAGGCTACACCAATAATGCCAAATGATGCTAGGAGATGCATTAAGATGGGAGAAATATGAGGAAAACACAAGATCAAAGCAACAACTAAATACAGGAAGAAACATACATCAGCTACCATAAACAACCCCCCA